ACTTTCGGCCTAGCTGTCTTGGTATTTGCATGGATGTTGCTGGCATGCTGGAGAAGCGTGATGCATGGCTTGAAGAGATTGGGAGTTGACCATCATCTAATCAATACGAACGTTGGAATACACGCTGTCCGGAAGACGAGAATCTAGTGTGCCGACATGCCATACGCATGCGCACGAGATCAGTCACTTGTCGTGGCGAATGCTGCAACTTGCATCGCTCTCCAATGATGAAGGTGAGAAGACCTACTCAAAGATGTGGTCCTTCGATGAGGCCGCGATGGATGCAGTGGATTGGCACGCTTGTGCTATATAGGACGATCAGCAAACTTGGCCCGACAATTTATGTTTCCGCACAGATGGCGAGGAGATGGCTTGGAACCACATCATCTCTCCGTCTCCGCCAGCACAACACGGTGTCATGCATCAAAGGAGCACAGCGCATCTCTCTAAGATTGTTCGAGGTCCATCATGACGGTGTCGAAGCAAGCGTACAGCGGGCCGAAAAAGCTCATCATAAGTTTTGACTTTGGCGTTACCTTTTGTGAGTGGACGACACATCTCATTCGCGCAAAGGCATGACTTGAAGCTGACTCATTTGCGGCAAGCGTAGCTGGCGCCGCAGTATGTCTGTTACAATCAGGGCTAGTGCCACAGCCCAAAGCTGTCATTCCTTGGCCCGGTGAGTAGGTCGAACGATGTTCTGAATGAGTGTTCGATCACTAACGAGAGGTGTTGCAACGGCCAGGCGCTGGCGGAGCAAGGTTCCCATCCTTGATGTATTACGGGGCCGGTGGTCAGCTTCGAGGGTATGGTCCAGCCAGAAAAGTGGAGGGCCCTGACTTTGCAAAATCGTTGAAGACTGGGAGTGTGATCGAAACCTCTAAGTGGAAACTCTTATTGTGCGTGCGCTCGTTCGCGCTTTACTGTCAGTATTGACGCTTGCTGACCTGATTCTATACCTCAGGAGGCCGAGTCATCTCAGGATCAAAGGCATGAAGAATTCCTGCAACGACATTAAGCTTCCACCGGGCAAATCTGCAGTCGACGTCACCGGTGACTTCCTTGAGCTAGCTTGGAAGGACCTTGTGACAGTCCTCGCGAGTCGCAATTCCATTGAATGGTCTGCCTTGAAGAATGGCGCAGATGTTGTGATTGTGTTGAGCCATCCAAATGGATGGGAGGTGCGTGCACGTTGGCACTTGCAAACGGTTCGCTTTTTGTCCTGACTCCAAACTCCTGCAGACCTCCCAGCCAATTGCGTTGAGGACCGCTTTCGAGCGTGCATGTATCCAGACCGCGCCTCAACAGCAAGTGGATCTTCGCTTCACAACAGAAGGCCAGGCTGGCATTCACTATATTGCCGACCAGCTCGAGGACGGAGACGTTACGATTGTTGTGGATGCAGGAGGTGGGACGATAGATATCTCGTGAGTAGATGGCTAGTCGTTCTTCTCGGAAAGTGACGGATTAAGCGCCATCTGCTTTGGGCCTCCAGAGTCTACCATTGTACCAAAGGCATGTATCGCGAAGTCGCGCTGCCCAGCTGTCTTTACGCTGGGTCCACTCTACTTGATGGCGCCGCAAAGATTATTATCGACGAAGTTATTACCGACAACATGTTGCGACAGAAGGCTTACTATGAGTGGGCTGCAGTGAAGTTGCTCCTGTGCGACAAGGCCAGGGATGTCTACCTCAATCTCTACATAAACGAAGACTGTACACCACCTCCGGAGGGCGATGCACCGGGCCAGTTTGCTTATGTGAGAGACGGCGAGCTTGTCATCACCAAGTGAGTCACAAGTTCCAAGCATGCGCGATGCTCAGAATGCTCAAGATTTGCTGCCGTCTTACTTCCTTTGTTCTTTCATTCGCAGAGCTGGCATCCAGGAAATCTACAAGACAGCTATCGACGGCACTGTTTCGAGCATCTTAGAGAAGGTCGAACACTGCTTCAAGTCGGAGAAGTTGCGCGTGAATAAGGTTGCATTCCTCGGAGGTCTGGGCGAGTCACTTTAATATCGCAAAGAGGTCAGTCAAAGTTAGAAATCAGGCACTGTCTTTGCTTTGCGACCGAACCTCGCTGATTGTGACCGCTATGATTAGGTCCAAGATCGAGTACTCAAGAGAGGCAAGGAGGACCAGAAGGGCTTGAGTGCGCTCGTCCGAAACATCCAATTCACCAAAGCTGACGAAGAAGGGCAGAAAGCGGTTGCTCTGGGCGCTGCTCGGGGAGCCGCCAGAAACCTCATTGACACGTGAGGCGTAGAGTCCTGGAAGCTACGAGGCGCCAAGCCTGACTGACCGGATTCGTGCGCTTCGACCTGCCCTGCAGCCACATTGCACCGATTCATCTTGGAATTAAGGTCAAGCAAGAGTACGACCCGGTCAATCCGGAGCACTTGGCACGAAAGGCCAAGAAGTATGTTGACGAAATCACCGGCAAATGGGTTCTCGACGATATGTTTGCAGTTCTTGTCAGCAAGGTCAGTGAACACATAAACTTTGCTGCCAACATTGCATAATGCCGTTGGTGACAGTGTGCTTTTTGACAGGGTGCAAAAGGAGCTGAGGATGCAGGTCCATTGGAAGATTTTACAATCACTACATGGACATCAGGCCTGGCTTGCACTAGAGATGAGGTGTATATCTTTCGAGGACGCAAGTGCCCCAAGTGGATGGGTGACAAGGGATTGTGAGGATCGTGGCAGCCAATGCCAAAGCACAATACAAGTCCGCTGCTGTGCTCATGTTTTCGAATCACACCGCAAAAGCGAAAGGATACAAGAGCTCAAGATTGATCTGGCTAAGCAAGGCTTCTCTTGCGAGGCAAAGCGCAACAAGAGCGGGCAAGAGATCTTCGAGTGGAAATACTGGCTCCAATTCCGTGCATATGGGCCAGAGCTTGAGACGGTCTGCACACAAGCAGACAAGAGGTTCGTAAGCAAGACCACCCAGTCCAGACACCACATTGACACGATCTTTACGGCCCGCAGCGTTGTTGTTCGAGCGAATCATCCTGGTCTTGTTGCTGCTACACAGCAATCGACCAAAGTAGGGCCCGCCGGGGCAAGAAAGCGTCTTCGTGCCCACTGAGGGCTCTTCCAGCGAGCAAGATATCAATACCGTGATGTGCTGCGGCCTTAGGCGTGCGAACACAATCACTCTCACCGTGCAGCCCCAAAATATAGATCGCGCAAAGTCAAGACCACATCCAAGCCGAAGATGCAATCGAGACTCGATCGGCGCCACGAAACTCCAAAAGGAACTCCACCCTCGCTGAGTCTCGGGCCACGATTCCACATGCCTTTAGTTCGGATTGAGTCAGATTGTAGGTGCAGAGGAGCAAGCTCTTCGCCCCCTCAATTGGCGAGCCTTACATGAAGGGACACGATTGCCAAAAGCTTGACGAGATGCTTTGATATCCACGACGTAGCGATGCTGTTCACTCAAGAATTTGAAAGCAATCCGCAGCTTCTGCACGTCTGCCTGTCTTGACCTCTATGGTCATCCGTCTTGAATATGGTTCCTACTCCTACGAGTAGGTGCGTTTGTTTCTCGTGGATCAAAAGCAGCCTTGGCCGCGTGAGAGAACCGTA